TCCTGTCCCCTTGGCAGAAAAACAGCCCCATAGCATGATGTTTCCACCCCCATGCTTCACAGTAGGTATGGTGTTCTTGGGATGCAACTCAGTATTCTTCTTCCTCCAAACACGACGAGTTGAGTTTATACCAAAAAGTTCTACTTTGGTTTCATCTGACCACATGACATTCTCCCAATCCTCTGCTGTATCATCCATGTGCTCTCTGGCAAACTTCAGACGGGCCTGGACATGCACTGGCTTCAGCAGCGGAACACGTCTGGCACTGCGGGATTTGATTCCCTGCCGTTGTAGTGTGTTACTGATGGTGACCTTTGTTACTTTGGTCCCAGCTCTCTGCAGGTCATTCACCAGGTCCCCCCGTGTGGTTCTGGGATCTTTGCTCACCGTTCTCATGATCATTTTGACCCCACGGGATGAGATCTTGCGTGGAGCCCCAGATCGCGGGAGATTATCAGTGGTCTTGTATGTCTTCCATTTTCTGATGATTGCTCCCACAGTTGATTTTTTCACACCAAGCTGCTTGCCTATTGTAGATTCACTTTTCCCAGTCTGGTGCAGGTCTACAATACTTTTCCTGGTGTCCTTCGAAAGCTCTTTGGTCTTGGCCATGGCGGAGTTTGGAGTCTGACTGTTTGAGGCTGTGGACAGGTGTCTTTTATACAGATGATGAGTTCAAACAGGTGCCATTCATACAGGTAACGAGTGGGGGACAGAAAAGCTTCTTACAGAAGACGTTACAGGTCTGTGAGAGCCAGAGATTTTCCTTGTTTGAGGTGACCAAATACTTATTTTCCACCCTGATTTACGAATAAATTCTTTACAAATCCTACCATGTGGATTCATGGATTTTTTTTTCACATTCTGTCTCTCACAGTTGAAGTGTACCTCTGGTGCAAATTACTGACCTCTGTCATCATTTTAAGTGGGGGAACTTGCACAATCGGTGGCTGACTAAATACTTTTTTGCCCCACTGTATAACCATTTCACTATGAAATAACAACTTATTTCATAAAGTAAACTTCATGTGCTTTATCTATAACAGCTCTCCTCTTGGGTACGAGATTGTGGATACAAGCAGCAGCAATGAGCTTCCTCTGAAAAGTGGCTGGCCTCTCCCTTAGAGATAGGGTGAGAAGTTCAGTCATCCGGGAGGGAGTAGAGCCGCTGCTCCTCCACATCGAAAGGAGCCAGCTGAGATGGTTCGGGTATCTGACAAGGATGCCTCCTGGGCGCCTCCTGGGTAAAGTGTTCCGGGCATGTCCCACTGGGAGGAGGCCCCGGGGCAGATCTAGGACGCGCTGGCGAGATTATATCTCTCGGCTGGCCTGGGAATGCCTTGGTGTTCCCCCGGACAAGCAGAAGGAGGTGGCTGGGGAGAGGGAGGTCTGGGCTTTTCTGCTTAGGCTGCTGCCCCCGCGACCCGGCCCTGGATAAGCAGAAGAAGATGGATGGATGGACTCTCTTCTGAATCACCTACTGATTATATTCACAGTATTTGTTCACTGAACAAACACTTCTTTAGGGATTTGCTACCTTAGCTTAGCTCATAGTCAACTCGCTAGCAAGATGGCCTCATTTTCCTGCTCAGTTTGGCAGATTTTTAGCTACACTTCGGCCTCCTTTTGTGATAATATAATAAATGTACCATTTTTACAGTTCTGCTCACTGAATTGGAGAATTGGAAAATACTGTAGCTAATCAGGCCCCTGTAGTCAGTTTGGACAAACGTAGTTTAGCCACCATTAGCTTCCCCCCCAAGAGATTGTCCCAAGCAGCCAGGAAAACAGGCTGGCTGGATTACGGTGAGGAGGAAGCATAGTCCTAAACAGAAGCCCCTGGTACACCACCAATCTATTCATCTAATTGTTTTTGCCCACTAGGAGAATACTTTGGTTATTTGCAATTCTATTTTGAGTCTTATGAAGTTAGCCATACAGTAAGGATTGTGCAAGGTGCGAGAGCAGGAAAGACTGAATGAAATTACAATTTACATTTTCAGTAATGACATCCGGTTACATCCATCAAAGTTTGCTAAAATTAATAATAATCAGTGTGTGTAACACTTGTCAGTTACCATGGAGTCACTGCCAAAGGTGGGAAGTAATGAAGTACAAATACTTGGTTACTGTATTTAAGTAGAATTTTCAGGTATCTGCACTTTACTTGAGTAGTTTTTTTCTGATAAATTTTTATAATTACTCCCTACATTTTTACACAAATATCTGTACTTTCTACTCCTTGGATTTTCAAAACAGGCTCGTTACATTTGTTTAATGCATCTGAGGGGAGTTATTATTTCAGCATTCAAACCTCAGAGTGATTTGATCCTAAACAGTAACATGTTCATGTGTTAATCACCAGGGGATGATGCATGAAAAGAGATGAAAGAGGCAAAACTGTGTGCCTTAGTCAGTCTCCATCAGCGTAACAAACATCAGCAAACACACAAACTGTTTGTGCGCAGCCTGTCGCACAATGTGTTGCTAGCTAAAGGTCCAGCTGCTGTATTTTAAAGAAAGAACTAACTTCACTCAGAGATGGAAGACGATAAGAAAGATGGGACAGGAAGAAGAGAGCTTAGATTTAAAGGTAAGGGCTGCTCAGTGGAAATGTGAAGCTTACATGTTAGTCCTTAAATCAAATATTGGGCCTGTACATGAAACATTGTGTTTTTTTATATTGCGAAACACAGTTGCAAAACAATCTCAGCAAGACTAACTGTGTTATTTAAAGGTTGCATGAAAATCCTCTGCAGGTTAGTGCAGGATAAACAGGTCAGTTTGCTGCACTGTGATGGATTTACAGTAAAGAGCAGTGTGTGACTGTTTCATGGTCAGAGTCAAGTCACATCAAGTCCTCCAGGTTTGAGGGTTTCCCCACCAGCTGAATCCCACTCTAACCCTTTCCCTACTCATTTTCCTGTTTAGAGGCAACGTCACTCTCTACAATGTAGGCAACAGAAAATAGAGCTATTTTTATTTTCCTGATGTTCTGCTTAAGTGATTCAAGCTGAGTAGCTTTAATTAGAAACAGTATTTAGAGTGAAAATAAGGTTTGCATTCAATATTATTTTATTATTACATTAATATTGCACAAGGTTCAGTTAGTTTGGCATAGAAATAGGTGGTAGAAATGTTCATCATGGAGCTGTTTCTTACTTTCTTACTTTGAGTATATTTCAAAGCCAGTGCTTCAACTTTTACTAGAGTATTTTGAACTCTACTATAGACTAGTATAGAAGGGTAAACCACGCTATAACGTGGTTTACCCTTCATGGCCTCGATGATGTTTTTGTTGTGCAAGTTTGCATGGGTTTTTTTGGGTTTTTTTTGACAGGGCATTGTGTTCTGCATCAGAGAAAAAAAGTAAAGAAAAGCATCTCTGGGTCCAGGCAGGAACCAGAGATGCTCTACAAACTGCTTTGTTCCCAACTGACACATCGTTAGTTGTGTGTCTTGATGTCTTTGAGCCCGAGTCTATATCTGCCCATAGCACAAGAGGACCCATGCAGTGGGCAGTCCTCTTCAAGTGTCTCTGTGTCAGACCTGTAGACATTGAGCTCATTGAGTCTTTAGATAATCCAGATTTAAAAATGCATACAGAAGGTTTATGGTGATTGGAGAACCAGTGAAGTACATACACCCTAATATGGGATCTTCCAAACTCACACATGAGGTGCACATAACATTGTTGGTTGCGATCACAGTCATTGTGAACAACTGACCACTTCTGCCTGTGTCCAGGGATCCTACAGATTCACACCTGTTTCATTGCTTACTCAGAAAGTAGATCCATGTGATCCAAGTTTGACCATAAAGACAAAAGTGTCACAGGGTCCAAAGCTTGTCACTTACACTCAAACTGTTCTATGACGTCATCAGAGACTATTACCTTGTTCCTCTTCTTAGTTCTATGAAGCATCTTGAGGCATCTTTTGTTGTGATTTGGCGCTATATAAATAAAACTGAATTGAATTAAATTGAGTTCTTCTTCACCACAGCCATTAAGTTTTTTTTTTCACAAAATCCACCACATCCTGTCATTCTGCATTTCTGTGTAGACAATTGTTATCCTTTATTTATCCACGTAAACGTCTCAATGAGATTGAAATTGTTTTCATACCAAAACACACAGATAAGCAGGAAACAATCCAAGTAGAGTTTTATAGATATAAAAAACAACCAATGGGGAAGTCTCTGGATACGCAAAAATAGCCACTTAGCAACAGGACACAACAGTGGTTTACATTCCACAGTCAGTAATAAAATGTAAGGCACAAATTGTTATTAAATTGTTAAATTTGGATTACACAGCATTCATCACGGTAAATGTCTTTCTGAAAGTGCTGTAACTAATTAGAACTAATGCTAAACCACATCCAAGTCTTTATGGCCTCTAATTTTCTGCTTCTACTTTCAGCTAAAACTGAGGTTATTGTACTCGGCCCAGTATGGTATCCAATTAGATTCCTGCTCTGGGTGGCATTACCTTGGGTTACTAATAGCCTGTAATTTGTAATTATCAGGACGTCCTAAAAATCTCCTTTATCTCTGATATTTGGCTTCTCTTCATTGGCTCCGTTAAATCCAGGATCAGAATTTAAATCCTTCCCATTACATAATAATAATGATAATAATAATCAGGCCCCATAACTTTATAATACTTTATCACCCTATTAGAGCAGCTCACTCTTAGACTGGGGGCTTACTTATGGTTTGGGTATTTCAATGTAGAATGGGAGGCAGAGCCTTCTCTCTGGCTCTCTTCCACGCCTTGCCTTCCTCGTCTTCCTCCACTCAAGCCTGGTTCTGCTGGAGGTTGTTTCCTGTTATGGAGTTTTTCCTTCCCACTGTAGCCAAAGCTCATGACGGGGTGTTCTCTCTTTTCTTTGCAACATAAAGTGCCATGAGGCAACTGTTGTTGTGATTTGGTGCCATATAAATAAAATTAAATTGAACTGAACAAATACTTAAAAAAAAAAGCTGAAGATCTAAAATCACACTTTCAGGTTACTGTTTATTGAAATGACAGGACTTTCTGCAGAAACACATGAATACTGAAACCTGATATATACACAGTTTAAATGTGTCCATCGGCAGCTACTTGGGTCAGTTTCTAGGACTAGAAGCCATCCACCAGGTGTTCATGTGAGCTGTTTACGGACACACTTGTTGAGTTTTAAGGCGTTTTAACGGTGCAGGGATGGAGACTGGTGCCAGTCACAGTCCACGGAGCAGATTTCCCGGCCAGTTGGTCGTCATCACACAGCATTATATTCCATATTTCTGCTTTAGCTCCTCCACCAGGCTGATGTACTCGTTCATGGCGTTCTCATTGCTCTTACCTTACAGACAAATTAAAAATGTGTTATGGAGGGAAAAAAAGACAGACAGACTAAATGAACAAGCTAGTCCTGCTTTTACTTTCAGAGACTCTTTTTCATAGTTTGTTGACATGAGGACTCAAAGCCCTGCTTGACAAACTCAACACTACAACAACTCATGCAGTCCTGAAAGGGGGCTGCATGCAGCCGAGTACAATATGCAATAATCCAATTTACTACAAAGGATGAGGAACGCACCAGCCCAACTTTTTTTTAATCAAATGAGCTGCACTCCTAACTCTGAGGAAATCATCCTTTATGTTTAAGGTAACATCAACTTATTCAGCCTTTATGCAATAAAATGTACTGAAATTGTACTTTTAGTAAAATAATAAAGGACAACAAGAAAACAAAAAATTAACAAATTTGTAATTCATTTTTAATTAATGAATATAAATAAACTTAACATTTATTTTAGGTTTATTTATATTAGGTCATGTTTTTAGAATTACAGCTGGATATATTTCAAGTAAGCGTTCACTTTAAACATCATTTAAACACATCCATTTCCTTCCATTTATCCGGGGCCAGGTCACAGGGACCTGACCCAGACCCCCCTCTCCACAGCCACCACCTCCATTCTTACTCACCCTTCTGCTTCTCCCAGGCATCCCATTTAGCTTTCCCAGTGAAATCAAACATCCCTGGACGAGCTTCAAAGACAAACAAAGCAAATTAAACAATTTAGTGGAATCCTGTGTAATGCAGGTCAAATAAATATAGGACACATTCATTAAGGCCCAGCGTCTTCAGTACAGAGCAAAGGGCTGCATTACATTGCAACACAAAAACATAAGAAACACTACTGATAATTATCTAGAATATTTACATTTATGTGGAAATCTGAAAGTGAAACCACGATACACAGGAGCAGATCTAGCTCCTCAGAGAGTCTGTAGTACAGGTGTACGTCATGCATGTGCCAGTGGTTCTTATAGGGTGCATGTTCAGCGTAGCCAGTGTCAGACTCTTATCAACAGTTTGTGTGACAGCAGTAACAGTGCTGAGCGCAGTATCATTTGAAATTTCTCACCTGTGTTCACATCACCCACGGTGGCCTGCTTGAACAGCGAGTAGATCTGCAACATCTCCTCATCAGTCGGCTTCGCCTTCAGCTGCTTGACCTCTGCTGCTGCTTCATCAAACTTAGTCTGTAGAAGACAGGACGACAACGTTGGGACAGTGCTACGTGCAAAAGGTAGATTTTTTTCTTCCCAGCTGGAAGAGGAAGGACTTCTTAACACAGCTTTTCCACACATCCCTGTTTTACACTGGATGCTTATACTATTTTAATTTGCACACAGAAAGAAAAAACTAAATGTACCAGGGTCAAAATTATTAGACCTCTTGTGCTGAGAGACAAAGCGACTGTCCGGGCCCAGTTTGCTGCTGACTGCTTGAAATCAAATTGTCACGTCCTTCTTTCTTAATGATTCCTTCTGCCTGGAAGAGATTCTACCAGGTCCATCCCCACAGCATAAGACTGCCATCAAAGTGTTTCACTGTGGGAATGGGGTTCTTTGGGGTTGTACACCGCCCTTCTTTCATAAAACATCTCTATGACCAAAAGGGCTCTAGCTTAATCTCAAAGGATGTGTTTCCAGTACGTGCAATCTTACTCCAGATTGCCCATGGCATACTTCAGTCTGGACTGAAGGTGAAGTTTTTAATACTGCGAGTAAATAGAAGATAAAACTCTGTTTTAAAGTGGAAACACTTCATGCATGAAGGCTAATATACCCCAGAGCCTTCCTCCTCGACACAGTTTTCATTTATAAAGCTTTACAAAACCAAATATCACGGCTAACAGGTGGATTTTCCTGTGTCAGTGCAGCCAGCCAAACCACAAAGAACCGCTTACTGCTTAAGAGAGAGAGTGGAAGTCGACTGTATATAATTCCCCCTGACGATCAATAAAGTATTCTGATATCCTTAAATTCTGTAGACAAAACTGATTGTTACAGCTTGGGGAAATACAAAAGTGACCCCTTAGTCCCGCTGTTTTCCCTGAGTTATGGTTACACAGCTTCGAGAGCACGTGGTGCTCCATGGTGTAAATTAGCCTTTACACATGATGTGCTTTATGTCCAAGTTAACTTGATTTGAGTATTACAAAGCACATCAGTGAACACCAACGTTCAGTGCTATGGGTTAATAGAAAGGTCCGTTTTTGTGGGCTGACCTGGTCATTTTTTTTCTGAAATAATTTGTTATTGTGTTCAAAAGAAAACTGGGATGTTTATAAATGACATTTAGGAAATGCTTCACTTCCTCTGCATAAAAGTAAAATCAGGATAGAGAATCAGTCTAGTCCAACCAGACAGTGAAACACTGTTTTATAACTCGCAAGTGATCGGTGCAATAAAGAACCGTTTTACTCGAGCTTACATCACATTTGCCTTTACCCAGTTTGCTCACATGGTTGCGACATTGGAGCTGCCCCATTCTTGGCTAAGTGGGCTGAAGGGCAGACTGAAGAAGACGTTATAAATGCCCAGTGGGGTGATTGTTCTGAAGTCGTACTCCAGATCAGTCTGCTTCCTGCACAAACACTACAGACATGAAGAAAAGCTGCATCGGGACAATAGCTCCCCCGCAGCCATTGTTACACACCGACTTTTTCTGCGCCCTCGGGCTGCATGAGCTGCTCTGTAGCTGCTAACAAGTCGTTGAACAAAGACTCCGCACAGCTGTCTGGGATGCTTTCACTTCAGGACACACGGCCTGCAGCTAAACCGCTACATCAGCTAACGGTCTTCCTTAACAGAAGGCGGCGGAATATAAACCAGTAATTTTATTCTTTTATACAGACCTGGAGCTCAGCCATGCTCGGTTAGTAGACAAACATAAGCCGGGGACTTGACTGTCAAACCATTTCCTCCTTCACGCCCTCCTTCCTATTGGCTAAACCAATAACGTACCTCGGCCGTTCACTGGATGACGTGACCGCAATTGGAAACACAAACGCCCCAGAACCTACTCGCAATGCTGGTTAAACGACTCTGTCCGTGTTCTACGGCGTTTGTGCAGGCGCGATGAGAGGAGGTGGAGGAATGATAGACTCCAGTCATCATATGACATTTTACGTATTAGCCGCTCGAAATTCCAATCTGCTGCCAGAATGGCTAAAGCAGCCTTCTTCGCTAAGATTATTACTTCTAATGGTGACAATCCTCGCATCCTATTTAAAAATTTTAACTCAGTGGTGAATCCTCGTCCCTCAATGCCACTCTCGTGCTCCCCAGGTCTCTGTGAAAAATTTTCAAACTACTTTCTAGATAAAGTTTTATCTCTTAGATCTACGCTTCCTTTGGTGGCTGACAGTATGTCTAATCCTGACTGTTCTGCTGCCTTACATCAATTTGAATTAATTTCACTTCCCACTCTGAAGCGTATAACTGAGAAACTAAACAATACTAATTGTGTACATGATGTTCTTCCATCTCGTATAGTCAAGGATTGTTTTAATGTAATTGGACCCTGTCTATTGTCTATATTGAACCTCTCCTTGCTTTCTGGTTATGTACCTTCAGTTCTTAAACATGCTTTTATTCAACCCGTTTTAAAGAAAAATAACCTGGATCATAGTGATTTTGCCAACTATAGACCGATTTCCAAGCTTCCTTTCTTGGCTAAAATCCTTGAGAAGGTGGTTCTACTTCAACTGCAGACCTACCTGGACGAGAATAATATAAATGATAAATTCCAATCAGCCTTTAAACAACATCATAGCACTGAATCAGCGCTGCTTCGTGTTTTTAATGATCTTTTACTTATGGCTGATAATGGTCGTCCTTCTGTTTTAGTTCTATTGGATCTTTCATCTGCATTTGATATGGTTGACCATAACATCCTAGTCGCAAGATTAGAGCACTCTGTTGGCATAAAGGGCACTGCCTTGGACTGGTTCAAATCTTACCTCTCCAATCGGCTTTCTTCGGTACATCTGGCCTCATCTTCCTCTTCCCCTGTACCTGTTTGCTGTGGTGTCCCCCAGGGTTCTGTGTTAGGCCCGACCCTTTTCTCACTGTATATGCTTCCTTTAAGCGCTATCTTTGAGAAATACCACATTGCTTTTCACTATTATGCGGATGACATCCAGATTTATTTTGAGTTACATGATGATCTCGCTTTATCTTTAAATAACTTTCGTGAGTGCATGAGTGAGGTCAAGAAATGGCTGTTGGCAAATACTCTTATTCTCAATGAAAAAAAGACTGAAATCATGATTTTTGGCAGTAATGCCCTTCGCGCCAAACTTCAAGATGCCTTTGGCTTTCTTACTAGTTCTTTCTCTGATACTGTCAGGAATCTGGGTGTCTTGTTTGACAGCTCCTTTAAACTTGATAAACAGGTGTCTGCTGTTGTTAGATCTAGTTTTTATCAGCTTCGTCTCATCTCCAGGGCCAGACACTATATCCCGTATAATGACTTAGAAAAGCTCATTCATGCTTTTGTAACGTCAAGACTAGATTACTGTAACTCACTCTATTCTGGTCTCCATGTTACCCTTCTACATAGATTACAGACAGTTCAGAATGCTGTGGCACGTATTCTAACTAAAACCAAGAAGTTTGACCATATTACTCCGGTTCTTGCTGAGCTGCATTGGCTGCCTATCAAATACCGTATTCAATTTAAAATTTTGCTGCTTACTTTTAAAATTATCAATAATACTGCACCAACCTATCTTAAGGAACTTTTAAACCCTTATGTCCCTGCCAGGGCTTTAAGGTCATCCTTGCAGTTACTGTTAGTTCAGCCCAGATCTCGGTTGAAATCTAGAGGCGATCGATCGTTTGCCTTTGCTGCACCTGAGTTATGGAACAGACTCCCGATTGGCATTCGGGAGTCTGATTCTATTTTTTCTTTTAAAGCACGCCTTAAAACTTATCTTTTTGAACTTGCCTTTTCTACCCGTTAAATGCTGACTGTTAACTGCGACCTATTGCATTAACTTTTTACTATTCCTTTATTCTTGGTGTTCTCTATCATGCGGCACTGGGTCTGCTATAATCTATGTGCTGCAGTCCATTTTATTAGTGGCTTTCTACTGTGAACATTGTCTGCTGTTCTTATTATATTTGATATTAATGCTCTTAACTGTATTATTTTATTGTTTTTTTGTAAAGCACTTTGGTATGCCTAGGCTTTTAATGTGCTCTATAAATAAAGGTTGTTGTTGTTGTACTTACAACCAGAGCAGTCGTGTCAGCGGGGTTCAGGATTCACGCTGTCACGTGATACCCGGAGACTTATGCCAAAAAGTGATCGTCCAACAACACGTGATTTCCAATGTTTGTATGATGTCTTTACTCATATTGGTAAATAGACTGCACTCAGCAGGATTTACAAAGGAGTTATATATCCAGTATATAGCCAGTCCGGTCCTTTTGGCCACTTAAAATATGTTTACTAAACTCTTATTTTATGTGTTATCATTTCTGCTGCCCTCATGGCCAGATCTCACTTAAAAAATGAAGTTTTAATGTCAACGAGACTTTTTTTTAACTGCTTAAATAAGGGACACTGCCAACAGCTAATTGCGACTTCTACCTTGTAACAGGAATGTTGTTTGTGGCTCAGATGGCTTGATATCATACACGAGGCATACATTACACATATGGTTCAAATATTACAGACTAACAAGTTATTTGTAGCATTTTAAATGCGAGCAATCAATCAGTTTTTGGCAGACGATCACTATTTGGTACAACACTAGCAGTGCTTTCTGGAAAAACTATTAATGCATTGATTTACAATATACAATACCATATACAATTGTGTGTGGATGCAGCAATATATATGCACTTTAACAGTAAACTATGTGAGGATTTGCCTGAACAGTTACTGTTACAGAATTATTCTCTAATTCTGTAATATTGGATAAAACGCCAGTTATTGTCCTGCTAATGGTAACCGTGAACTGTACAGAACAAGTTCATTTTATCTGGGTGAGTTTTATTTTTAAACCTCTTATTGTCTTCAAGAGCACATCTCAGTCTTGTGTGCTGCTATATCTAGATTATATTGCTAACTTCAAGAACTATTGCAAGGCTACATAAAAACAAGGTCCATTATGGTGACTGGAGACCCGAAACACGAGACATGCATTTATCCCCGCTTGCCAGTACATGATCTCCAACACCCCCAGATGGTAAGACAGGCATTGAGATGCCACCTCAACAGTAAGCTGTAAATATATATGGCCTGCCAGATACCCAGCTGGAACAATAAGCTGGTCACAAAAGGACATAAATGCGACTTGAAAATTCTATAAAATTCATGGACTTCTCCACCCAAGGTCTAGCACCCTAAGACATATGAGCAACAGACAGAGAGAGAGTGAGGATTAGTGCGTGTCAGAGGCATGCATGAATACATCAGGAAGATGAAGCCCTGAGATGAACTGTGCCTCAGGGAGCTGAGGACAGACAGTGATAAGGAGCATGAAGAGGAACTACACTACATTACCAAAAGTATTTGCTCATCTGCCTTGTAATATGTTGGCTCACATTTTGCAGCTATAACGGCTTCAGCTCTTTTAAGAAGCTTTTCCACAACACTAAAAATAACTATTTAAATAAACATAAAGAAATAAGGAATCATTAATTCAATAATGATCCACATGATTAAATTGCTTTATTTTATTTATTTATTTTTACTCTTTATTTTGAGTCAACATAAAAGAAGGGTAACAGTTCTCAACCACTGAAGTGGCATTAAGCCCTTTATATAGTGTCCATTTCCACCAGGTCCGTTCAAAGGCATCCAGTTTGATTCGTCATAGAAACTTCAGTTTATCTCCTCCATTATTTCACTTTCAGCGACTCCTTTTCAGCCAGTTCTTGTGATAACTTTCTTCACAGCCACAGTCATTATTTTAAACATGTAGATGTTCTCTTTTTTAATCGTACCTTCTGGGATCAGACCAAGGTGTAAGACCTGTGGATCCCTGGGAAGTTCACACTGACAAAGTCCGTCTATCAGCTCGGCAACATCTGACCAGCATGGTTGTAGTTTATCACATGACCAAAAGGTGATTGGCCTTAATATGACCACATTCTCTCCAACATTGTTTTTTTTTTTTTGCTTTAACGTGTTTGCTTTTAATATAAACTGTAATAAACGTACGGAATCCATAATCTTTCCGAGTTGGTCGTTGTCCCCTTTGAGGTCGGACCTCAGGTCTTTCAGAAGGTCACTCGGTGTTACGTCAGTCCAGGGTAGCCTTGGAGTTTCAGGTGGGCTAGAGTTAGCTTGCAGTGCTACTTCACTGGCTTTCGATGCTGATTTTCTTTTGATATTTTTGCATGGTTTATTTGCCTCTTGTGAATCAGTTTCCCCTTTTATACCAATAGCGAATGATGAATCAACTTGTTTACTGGAGTTGAGTCCAACTTAATTTCATTGAGTTGATTCCTACAAATGACAATTTTCCAACAAAAGAACTTAATGCTAATAGAAAGCAATTTATCAAAGTTGAAATCTGTTTCATGATTATTTTAAGTTCATGGTGTGATTAGAGTTATTCTTTGGATTGTTCAACATCAAGTCCAGAGTCTGGTTAACATAAAACTTTAATGGACTTATAACAACTTTCACATAGCTGCCACTCCATCCATCCTCTTCTGATTATCCTTATCAGGGTTGCAGGGGCGTCTGGAGCCTATCCCAGCTGTCATAGAGGCAGGGTACACCCTGGACAGGTCGCCAGTCTAACACATAGAGACAGACAACTATTCATACACACAGGCAATTTAGAATCACCAATAAACCAAACCCCACTAACAATTTAGTCTTCAGTCTTTGGACTGTGGGAGGCAGCCAGAGTACCCAGAGAAAACTTACACACACACATCATGCAAACTCCACACAGGCTTTTCTGTGTGGACAGTTAGTGGATTTGAACTCAGAAACTTCTTGGTGAAAGGAAAGAGTGCTAACCTTTAATGAGGTTTGAAATCTCGCATGATCGTGTGACATGACGAGTCCAGACAACTAACCACTCTTTCTGGATTGTATCACATCATCTCAACAAGAATAAATTTAACAAGTGTTAAGTTGTTGAATTTCATGCAGATTGTATATGATTTAATTATGTTCACCACAGAAACATATAATTATTTTGTTCAAATTCCAAGTTAGACTCTTGTAAACATAATAACCACCCAATTTCACTTTTTGAATGAAGGTTTAGTACTGCGTTTATGGGAACATTTGATCGTTCATCAGTGCATTTATGACGACAGGACATTTGTGAAGCATTGCCTCCTACAACAGTACCACACCGGAAGCTCTTGAGAGCACCCACTGTGGCCATGGAAGTGATTGGATGGGTGAGTGGATACGTTTGGTAATACAGTGTATCCACCGGCATGTTTGTATACTCGTGTCTTCAACCCAGCTGCAATGGCCGCGGCGCAACATACCAAAAAACAAGAGATGCACGTCTGACCGATGCACATAGCACCTGCAACACAAGCAATGTGTGGTCATCATAAAAATGGCCCAAGGAAGCAGACACAGGCTTCTCCTGAGTGGTGGTTTCAAATTCAGCAGGTTCAGACTGATTGGTTTAAATCCAGTCTTTAAGTCTGACGTCATTAGCCGTGTCCGGTCCCAAACTCTGGTGCAGGTCCATAAGTCAAGCGAACACTGCAACATCACTGAGAGTTGAAAAATGGTCTAAATTCTTTCATCTGTAATAAAATGATCAGCGTTGCTGCTCTACCAGGTGTAACAATTAAGTTTAACATCCAGGCATCCATGAAAACAGGATTTATGACATTTAACAGAGTTAGAAGTTAGCAGGGAGTTAGCTCGCTAGCTTCCATCTAAATACAATATAGCATGTCCTGACTGAGGGATTTCTGAAACAAAATAAGACGTACAGCTCTGCTATCACTTCTGACATAAATTAAGACAGAAAACTAAGCAGCAGTGACGTTTGTAGGGTTACTGAAGTCGGGCTAGCTGATATGTAACGATGTGCTACGTGGTGGCTAGCTACACAGCTACATTAGCATAACATAAACACAGTGAAGCTGGAGGATGAATGCTAATTTTTTACCACTCGATAAAAGTTAACATGAGGGTTCCCGATGGTTAGGGACAAATGCAATCGCATGGCAGGATGCTGTAAACCATAGGTGTCAAACTCTGGCCCCCGGGCCAAATTTGGCCCGCAGCCTAATTACATTTGGCCCGCGAAGCCATACCAAATTACTATTAGAGCTGGCCTACTGGTATTATACAGCTAATATATATATTGTTTAGTATTAAGCTTTGCTTGTTCCATATTGAGTTTTTCAGCTAAACTTGTTTGAGTCCATAAGAAAAGATTCATTCTTATATCTGGAGGAAGATTTTTTTTTTCAATAAATATTAATGTTAGCCCGCGACTTTGTTCCATTTTGAATTTTGGCCCACTGTGTATTTGAGTTTGACACCCCTGCTGTAAACGGACCAAACTCCAGTCGGGAGAACAACAGAGATAATCCATCCACAATACGCCGTTAGTTATTAATATACTGCTGCATGGGCTGGGCTGTAGCTACATCTAAGGTTTTGAAAACTGAACTTTAAAATGATTAGGGTAATAAAAACCTTGAGAGGCAGACAGTGATCACTGACTGTTTTTAGGGGCTTGTTGAGATTAAATACACTCAACAAAAATATAAACGCAACACCTTTGTTACTGCTCCCATTCCCCATGGGATGGACGTAGAGACCTAAAATTCATTCCAGATACACAATCTAACCATCCCTCCCAAACAGTGGTCACAAATCAGTCCAAATGTGTGGTAGTGGGCACATCTGCTATATTGAGATAATCCATCCCACCTCACAGGTGTGCCACATCAGGATGCTGATCTGACATCATGAGTAGTGCACAGGTGTACCTCAGACTGCCCACAACAAAAGGCCACCCTGGAATGTGCAGTTTTTTGCGCTATTGGGGGTCTGGGGACCCAGAACCGGTCAGTATCTGGTGTGACCACCATTTGCCTCATGCAGTGCAACACATCGTCGCATGGAGTCTATCAGATTGGCAATTGTGGCCTGTGGAATGTTGGTCCACTCCACTTCAATGGCTGTGCGAGGTTGTTGGATATTCGTGGGAACTGGTACACGCTGTCGTATACGCCGGTCAAGCACATCCCGAACATGCTCAATGGGTGACATGTCCGGTGAGTATGCTGGCCATGCAAGAACTGGGACATTCTCAGCTGCCATCTGCCCTGAACAATGTGAACCATGATTCATCCGTGAAGCGCACACCTCTCCAACGTGCCAGACGCCATCGAATGTGAGCATTTGCCCACACAAGTCTGTTACGGCGACGAGCTGGAGTCAGGTCAAGACCCCGATGAGGACGACGGGCATGCAGTTGAGCGTCCCTGAGACGGTTTCTGACAGTTTGTGCAGAAATTGTTTGGTTGTGCAAACCAATTGTTCCAGCAGCTGTCTGGGTGGCTGGTGTCAGACGATCTTGGAGGTGAACCTGCTGGATGTGGAGGTCCTGGGCTGGTGTGGTTACACGAGGTCTGCGGTTGTGAGGCCGGTTGGATGTGCTGCCATATTCTCTGAAACGCCTGTGGAGACGGCTTATGGTTGAGAAATGAACATTCAATGCACGGGCGACAGATCTGGTTGACATTCCTGCTGTCAGCATGCCAATTGCACGCTCCCTCATTGCTTGTGGCATCTGTGGCATTTTGCTGTGAGATAAAACTGCACATTCCAGGGTGGCCTTTTGTTGTGGGCAGTCTGAGGTACACCTGTGCACTACTCATGGTGTCAGATCAGCATCCTGATGTGGCACACCTGTGAGGTGGGATGGATTATCTCAATATAGCAGATGTGCCCACTACCACACATTTGGACTGATTTGTGACCACTGTTTGGGAGGGATGGTTATATTGTGTATCTGGAATGAATTTTAGGTCTCTACGTCCATCCCATGGGGAATGGGAGCAAAAACAAAAGTGTTGCGTTTATATTTTTGTTGAGTGTAGAACAAGATACAAAGCACTAAAACATGTTAAAAACACAACAGCCTTATTAAATGCAGAGTCGTTTGGACCCGAAAGCAGGATTCGTCACGTCATCACTTGTGTACTGGATACACACACACACGCAACCCACCTGTGAGAGAACGTGTGTGTTTGTCTGTGTCCATGTTTGTAAACATTGTTATAAATATGAACATGCACCTGTGTGTGTGTTTGTGTCAGAGGGGTGTTTACAAACAATCACAATCAGAAACATCCTGCTTAGAGTTTATAGAGTCACACTGAGCTGACTTCAGATCTGTGTCATTTATTTCAGCACGTCTTTTTTCAGTTTTTGGTACTGTTGCATTTTACACTCACGCTCGACATTTTGGTGATCTTATGCAAGTTCATTCAATAAGTTTAAATTTGAATATTTCAAATATTTTAGCATGTTTTGTGCTAGAGAAAAAATTAAAACTTTTTCCCAAGACCTTGGATTATTAAAATATTACTAGATTGTTTTCTATATTGTTTTATATCTTGTATGGTTTTCAAACAATGACAGTTTAAGTTTTGAAGAATTTGATTTTTCATGAATCACCCCGTCCACTGCATAATCGCCTGCTGTTGAGGTTGACAATCTAAAAAAATGACTTTTCCACGCTCAAACTTTCTGCCCTGCGAGTTTAATTTGAACTCACTTAGTCAGACTGCTTAATTGACATAGAAACACAGAGTCATACACTCTCACAACACTGTGTCACTGCCATGTGTGTCTGTATCTATACTTGTAAATGGTTTTAGGTGGGGATGTGCACGTGTGTGTGTGTGTGTGAGGGGCAGGGGGTTTTACAAAGTGCCACCAATCAGAGGCATGTTTTTGGTTTTATTTAGCACATTTTCAGTTTTTGGGACTCCTATTTCAAATAAAATACATTAACTCTGCTTTGACTATAACGTGATGAGTTAAGAGTGTAAAAAACCTCAGATAATCATTATGTGAAGGCAAACGTTAGAACAGAGTCTCAGACTTAAATGAGCTGTGGCCATTGCTGGCACTGTCATCTCATTGGAGGGCCGCAGTTTTTTTGTGCTACTTGAACACTAAACAAACAAGAAAACAACCACAAATATTTCTGGAAACGTGGTGTTTGTTCTTTTAAAATTAAAAATATTGTATAAAAAGACAAAACTGCAAACGTGAAGGCAGTTTCCCCCTCACTCTTTACTAATCGAAGCCTTTCATTGAAGCAAATAAACACATTGGTCCTCTCTGCCTGTCCACACACGTGGCAGCACTTCTATCATTTTGCTCGTATTTAACAAAATAAAATTGCAGACATGAGTGTCCACATGAGTGTTTGCCTGTCACTGAACTAACACATTCGGTCATTTGGAGAATTTGTTTCAACATTGCACTCAACAAACAAATCCTCCCTAACAAACGTCACTTCAAGGGCCAAATTGCATTACATTCCATCACATCAATACACGGGCTGCAAGTAGGGGTGACGTGGGCTGCATGCGGGCCCCAGGCCACGAGTTTGAGACCCTTGTATTAGAACAATTGAGGAACTTCCCAAGAACATTATAGAGAATTCTGAGTCTGACAGACTTTATTCCATCCATTGTTGCTTCAAACGTCCCCCCCCCCCCCAACAACAAAAATGGGAGGAGCTTCTCAGTGAAAGTGTGTCTGTGGGTGTAGACCTTCGTTTTCAGAGTCATAGAAGGGTACAGGGTCTCTGGTACAGACAGTCATACTGTATGAGTCCTTTAAAATGTGAAACAAACTCCAAAGCTCTACGAGGTTCACTCAGTTTATACGGATGACGAGCTTCAAGAGAATCCTAAAGTTTCATGTAACTTCTTCTATTTCACATTTATTGAAACGAATGTTCCCCTGAGAACAGTCAAAGCATCTTTCTCTCCATCTGTGTTTCAAAGAGGTCTACATCATGTTCTTGAACCGCACAACATTTAGCAAAAGTATCCACTCACAATTACATTGGCAACAAAGTATGAAAAAATATAAACACTTCTGAAAACATCTCTGAATTACACTGAGAACACAAACATTTTACTCATGATCACAGAGAGCAGAGCGAATGCTGGAGATGTAACATTGTTCCTTAAAACCTTTAAAACTTTCAGCATATCTACAACATCACCAACAACAGAAAGATGTTCATAAAAGTCATATTCACATAAAATAAAAAAAATATTAATATTAAATAAAAAGGCCTGTTAGTCTGCTGGATAATAAGCTTTGACTTTAAAGGAGAAAAAAAAATCCCACAAATGAAAACAGTCCAGTAGCAACATGACAAAACTTGTTCCAGGCAGACCTGTGTATATGAACTGTCCTCTGACGCAGTCACCAGGCAGTTTGGGGGTTTGCTTTATAGAGACTGTAGTCTGCTTTCCTGAAGAACGCCACTTCTGTCTCATGAGCTAAAGAGGACAAACATGTCAAAGTTAAAACACACCTCAGATTTTTAAACAGGTATGTTCAGAAAGTCTTCCATTTTTATGAAGTTTGAAATGGATCACAGTCAATCACAGCTCTCCTTCATATAAGTCAGAAGACAGTTATTTTTATTCATTATCCTGGCTGCATGCCAAATATCCTTGGGCAAGATACTAACCCCGTGTTTGCCTACTGGTGGTGGTCAGAGGGCCCGGTGGCGCCAGTGTCCGGCAGCCTCGCCTCTGTCAGTGCGCCCCAGGGCAGCTGTGGCTACATGTAGCTGCCATCACCAGTGTGTGAATGTGTGTGTGTGAATGGGTGGATGACTGAATGTAGTGTGAAGCGCTTTGGGGTCCTTAGGGACTAGAAAAGCGCTATACAAATGCAGGCCATTTACCATTTACCATTTATTTTTTTAATGGACAGTTGAGGTGGGATCTGAGATGTGTCTTGACTGAACTGCTACTAAATTCATAAACTGCCCGTCCCACAGCTGGTCGTGTATGTTCGAGAGAAGAACAACAAAATGTTTAAAGATTTGCCTGCTGAGTGTAACATACCCAAACTGGATTAAGGCATAAATCTACTGACAGATTAAAAAACAAGTCTAAACAATGCATCGCAGTCAAAATGATGAAGCTAGGTAAGCAGAAACCTGAGAGTCACTGTCCAGTTCCTTTATAGAGATGGAAGAACCTCACTGAAGGACAACTTTTGCCATTCAATTCTATTTATATCTTTATATTTATTTATTGAAATCATTTGTTTATTATAAGGTAAAGACGTTAAAATGATACACAGACAACTGAGCAAACCCCAAAAATCATACGGCCTCCAATCAGATATTTCAGTCTGACATGTTTTATTCATTTACAAAGGAAACTAAAATCCACTCAGTTTTGGTTGTTATGAAGAACTGTGTTTAGACTGCTCTGGAAACAGCAAACTGAACAACGATGAAATCACTGAATGCGCATCACGGGCCTTTCTCACTACATGATATTCAAACCACATGTTATTATTGTATCACTACTTCTATTTGAAATTCAATTTGAACAGGGTGAATTTTGGGGCATTGTGCAAATAGACTGAAAGGTTTGGGTTTAGAAACAATGAACTCGAGCAAAAGGCAACAGTGAATATAATCACAGGCACAAATGTAAAAAGAGATGTTTTGAGTCGCCCCTTATTTCTTTGTATTTTCTAGGAGAATGGGAAATAAGAACAGGGCAAAAACAGCTTGTACAATTCTAACGTCACTGGGGTCAACACAGCTCACAGCTGACTGTTAGCTGGGATGTTACTCAAAGTTACATTGGTCGGCTGGTGATGGTGGCTGTGCTGATGCGAATCAGGCTCATTTTGACAAATTAGATTTATGATTGAAAATAATCTCTCCGTCTCTCAGACAGACATTGTTACTGATTTTGTTGCCTGTTATAATCAGGCTCTGGCTGCTGTGCTGAGGACAACACAAGTTTAGCTTTCGTGTCACTGTGTTCTTTGCTAGCTTCATGTTAGCATGTTTGTTTTGGACAGGCTTGCAAAGCGTTGATGTGTCAGCAGCATAGCGCATGAATTGAAAACAGTAAGTTGTTACATTACCACATTCATGAAAAAATGTAAAGTGAATACAGTAATGTGTTACTTTGGACCAAATTATAACCAACACTGCTCTACAGCAAACACTCAGCAATGCAAATCTTACCAACACCAGCAGCTCTGAGGGTTTGGCCTTCATGTAGAACCAGAGTTTCATCATCATCTAAACTCATCACTAACTCGTTTGTCTGAAAACAAAGGAAAAAAGATAAAAATTGCAAGTTTGAAATGCAAACTATTTCTGAAATAAGATTATATAATAACTGAAATAATATTTCTGGAATGTACGGCTAAAATTACTGAGTTGATTCTGAGATCAATCCCAAATTCTGAAAGTGGATTAAAGGGAATTAAATGATTTAGTTGTTGAAATACCAGCTGAGTGAACAGATTTTGATTTCCTTTATTTTCTCACAGGGATCATGCTATTACAAAAGAGGGAAGTTATATTAAAGTGGAAGACAAAATAGTCAGGTCCCTTTGAAAATGTCATTTTTTAAAGTACTCCTTAAGGGCAGACCACAACACTCGTGTGTCCTACAAGCGGACACTCCACAGCCTTCACACAGATACCTTTGCTCCATGAGCCTGATGGATAATCTTCATCGTGTCTGTAAGGGGAAAAAGGATGGAGTCAGATTCAGAGCACAAATTTCACACCAACAAAGTTTACACAGACCTTTGGTCAAAACTTTACAGATATCATGAAGGTTGTTTTCAGTTGTTAATGGTTTTTCTTCCCCCACTGTGGAATGACTGTACAGCAGACATCTTTAATGACCAACAAACAAGAACTGGGTGCAAAAGTGTGAATTTATTTTTACATTGTCTCTAATCCACACAGGCTCGATACACAACAGTGCTGTCACTCGACTTGCAGTGACCATCAAAACGATGAAAAAAAAAAAATTGCTGTAAACGGTTTATTTTGCGACACCACGAAACAAACGATAGCGTAAAATGAAACAGACGTTTTTATATCGTCATCCGATATATGTCGTATCGAACAGTCCTAGTATAAACCTCTGACCACAACTGTATATAATGATCCCATGTGCATTTTCTTTTATATCCAAATGTTCATAAAGTGATTACATTTATTTATACAAATACAATTTGATTCTGACTTTAAGAGCTCTGTTAGCGGGCCCTTAAGAGCATCGCCTCACTCTATGTACATTTCTTTAAAAGTCCCGTTCAGCATGGATTTTTTGTCTGTTTGTTTTTTTGGTTTTTGCCCTTCATCGCCGTCCTTCTTCCCCGCTGTTTTTCTTTCCCCAGTCAAGTCTGTCCCGTGTGTAGCAAGTGAAAATAAAATAAAATAAAATAAACAATAAAAGGTGAATCAAATAGGCTGGGGCGGTCCATTTAGTAAAGTAAATCCGTTGGGCATCTTTCTTTGCCTTTAGACAATAATTCTGATGGCAAAAGAACCAAACAGGACAGGCTGGGGAAAAAAAAAAAAAAAAAGGTCCCGTTCAGCCCTGAGATCCAGCAGGAACAAGAAGCACTCGGTGTGTGCAGCTTTTACACTGGGCAATCTTTACCTTTTGTATATATTCGTTTTATTGTCTTAATCAGATAAGCACTTTATTAACAAGGGAAAAGTCGTTAGAGAGCAAAAAGGATTGCACAACACAATTTTATAATGCAATAATTAGCTTTAGTCATGTTTCCTGTCCTTCACAACTCTTGTGAGAGCTGTGTTCACTAGTGATGTGCAACTCCACTGATTATCTTTCTGATCTGATACCAAGTAGAATTCAGGGCGGTATCGACGATACTGATCCGATACTCTGTACAAAAACGTAATTTTTCATTGTATTTCATAATCCAATAATTAATTGTATTATGTAACTGTAATAATAATATAATAATATTGCTTCATAATGATTACAGGACATCAGATTACTTGTTCTTATTGCTTAATAATGCAGAGTTCATCATATAGAAATAAAAAACTGAAGTTGTGCCTATTTGAACACGTTGCCTGCCTGCAGCACTGAAGGACTCTGTGAGAGACGTCTGTCTCGCCCTAGCAGCACCTGTCCCTGTCCTCCTCTTCAGTCTCAACATACGCTCGTCATATTCTGTGATATGATTTACTCTGAGGTGTTTGACGAGGTTAGTGGTGTTGCCACAACATCTCACTTTCTTGCCACATGTATCGCAAACCGTGTCGTGGCTGTTTGCGGAGATAAAATACGTCCACACATGACTCCGTTTCACTCAGCCATTGTTGTGAGTGCGCACACCAGCGGCTGCAACACATTTATACAGCCGTGTTTCACACATGACTATGTAGACAATCCGAATGATATAGTTTCTTTCCACTGTGTTCCTGTTAATGATAAACTACAAATTTACCCTAAATTACTAAAATATCGATGAGAATCGATTCTAGAACATAAATTACTGGTATCAGAAGAATCAATATTTCAAATTTTCAATATCGATTTGCACATCACCAGTGTTCACACTCCAAGTCGAACTCTCTCCCATGAAGTTCTGGACTCCACCAGGCTGCCATCTGTCATATTATTTATGGACAGAAAATCCAGGTGCAGCCAGTAGGCTAGCAGCTGAGTGGGAAACGAGTCTGAGGGCATGGTTCTCAGTCAGAAGGACCCACGCTGGATTTGGAGCAAATTTAAGTATCGGACTCTCTTGCTTGCAAGTAAGAGAAAAGTGAATCACTAGAGTAACGGATTGGTGCAGCGCCTGCTGTGGCTACACCCACCTATGGTCACAAGCTGTTAGGGCTGCTCGATTATGGCAAAAATGATAATCACGATTATTTTCACTGAAATTGAGATCTCGATTATTTGACGATATTTATTTAACCCTTTAAGACCTACTATAGAACCAAGTCCGCCAGAGCTTATATTATTATTTTTTTTACATGTTGTAGTGCCATTTGTGGGAGCATTTCAAGTTGCTATGCAACTGTTATAGCCCATATTTTAAATAATATGTATGCATTAAGTCCATAGTAACTACATTAATTGCAAAAAAGTGCAATAAACTACAAAAAAATTGAAAATCGTTTTTGGTTTTTTTTAACATATATTTCTACTTTGAGAAATTTAAGGGTTTATCCCTCAAAACTTTAAATACAAAAAAGTTGCAAAAAATAGTTTACAACAACAGGAAATTTATTTTGAGTGTCTTCATAGTTTTATTTTGGAGATACAGCAATTTTTATATACTGCAGGAAAAATGAAAAAACAATCCTATGATGCAAATTTGCAAAGAAAACAGCATGTGCATCAAAATAAACTATTTCCAGCAGTGCAATTCGAGTTCTAAGCATCCCAGAAACTATTCAGAAAGGTCAAACATGACCAGTATAGGCTTTTAAGACCTACGAGTAAAAAACTACAATTTCCGCGAAAATGACGTCACTTCCGGTTTCGGGCAGGAAATGGCGGATATGCGGTAGTTCGCGCTGATGTCTGTTTCACTGTGGGAAGTGTTACGAACAGCTGATCGGATCGGCAAAGCGTGTTTCTGGAATATTATGTTTTTGTTCCTGCAAGCGCTTTTTATGCAGTTTTTGTAAAGCTATATGTGGAAGGAAACCGTGACCGAGGACAAGCTGATGGCATCAGATGTAAGTACAACTCCTCCGGGTTATTGCGCTAGCTTACACGGTTCAGGTTCTACAGGGATTTAAAAATAGCTACACAAAACGGAGCGTGCTGCTCTGACCGGCTTTAAAGGGTTAACAATGACTTTAAAAAAATAATGTAAAATAGTGTGCAACACCACTGAAGTTTTTTTTACCTCTTTTCAACCAACAGCAGTCACTCTCCTCTCCAAATAACTTCTGCTTAGCTTTCCGAGCTTCCCTCGGGTCCTCTTAATCAGTGGTCTCCAACCTTTTTTGCGCCACGGACGGTTTATGCCCGACAATATTTTCACGGACCGGCCTTTAAGGTGTCGCGGATAAATGAGGGAGGGGCTAATAATCGGCTCAGTCATTTTTAATGATCGTTGAAAGCCCAGATCGTAATCGTGATTAAAATTCGATTAATTGAGCAGCCCTACAAGCTGTGTGGAAATAACCTTCCCCCAAAGGGTGGCTGGTGTCTTAGAAATTTGGTGAGTAGCTCAGTCACTGGGGAGAGGGTCAGAATAGAGCCGCTACTCCTCTACACTGAAAACAGCCAGCTGAGGTGGTGTGAGACACCTAGGAGAGGAGTTCGTAATCTAACTTTGCCCCGTGTTTCACTATGGGAATTGCCTTGGTATGACCAACTACGGAAGCTCCAATGACACCACGTTTGAGCTGTGCTCAGGGCTCCGCCCCCTTATTCTAACACCACCGACCAGCCTCTCCTAACTCGGGATGGCAACATCCTGGGCTTTGCTCAGAGGTGTATCAGTCCAGTTCGTGCGGTTTTATAGGCTGGATGTTGCACAGTCATCCCTGGGTCAGTCAGTCCTGGAATCTAGCGCCTCAGGTCCAACCTGAGATCCTGGAGTAGTGCTGGAGCATAGCTTTGGGCACAATCCGGTAGTGGGCCATATCTCCCGTAGTGAAACAGAGCAAAGTTAGAAAAAGAACGATGGGTCACTTCATGGATCTCTGATAACAGAGTGAGATGTTTCACCAACACTTCCGTCCTTGTTTGGGTGCGGAAAGAAAGAGTGATTACATTTCTGTTCTGGTGTTCGTGTGTTTATTTAAATCATTTTGTATCAAGTAAACACATCACTACTGATGTTTAGCTATAACTCCAGGTAACTATGTGAGTTCTATGTAACAACAACAGCAATCTAAACATGACATGTGGGTAGGATGAGAACATTGCTCTAATGACAGCAGTAAAAAATTATGAAGACAATTGAAGTAATGCATACATACCATAACCATATTTCCTGAAAGGAGGTGGAAATCCTGGCCTTGTTGCAATATCTGAAAGAAATTGTTGGATTCAATCAAGATTTTATCTTCTTATTCATGTGTGAAAACACACAAGGTCGAGAATCCTAAAAAACTCGTCTAATAAAGACTCCCCATCTGTCCCACTGGGGTTTCTCACAGCTGTTTTTGTGTCTATGTGGGACACACACAGGGTGGAGCAACAGTTTGCTAAACACAATCACAGACTTTAGAGGGGAAAGCGCAGACCTCGGCCTCTGTGTGAGGATCTAAACGTATTCTACGCTCGATTCGACACAGCGAACACCACGAGACCGACTGCCTCTCCCTCCTGCTCTCCCCAGCCTTCACTCCCCTCAGACGCAGTGCCAGGTCCACCACAAAGACCGTTACAACCTGGCCTGAAAATGCTCTCTCCAAACTACAGGCCTGCTGAGACAGATTTGAACACCAGGAGCTAGAAACAGTCACAGGATCAGTACTGGACTACATCAAGTTCTGTATCAGAAATGTGACTGTGGACAAAAGCATTCGGGTTTTCCCAAACCAAAAACCAGCCAGGTCCGCTCACTTCTCAAAGTCTGTGACGCCATCTTCAGGTCAGGTGTCAGAGCTCTGTACACGGCTGCTCGAGCCGATCTGAAAAGGGAAACTAAAAAAGTCAAAACAGACCACAAAGGAGCACAGAGTCCCACCTGTCCAGCGCCAACACACAGGAGGTGTGGGAGGGCATACGAGACAAACTACAGAGGCTGTGAAAACAGAAAGCCTGAGTGTGCCGCTGGCAGACGAGATAAATCACTTCTTTGCCCAGAAACATCTCAACAGCAGCACTCATCTGCTCCAGCCCTGCTCCCATCCTCATCCTCACCTGGTTCCTGCACTGCTCCACTCACTGTAACAGAGGATATTCCCAGTGCCAAAGAAGTCTCCCATCACCAGCCTGAACGATGACCGCCCTGTGGCCCTCACGCCGTACTCATGAAATGCTTCGAGATACTAATGCTTCAGCACATCAAGGACCACCTTTATGTTCTAGACCAAAGACCCACAGACTCAAGAACAGTTTCTTTCCAAGAGCCTGAACTCACACATGCACTGAAGACAGTTTCACCCCAAATCCAAGGACTCCCCCCACACAGACTGCAAACTACGATCACGACTGTGCAATATTTAATTTATGTGCAATAACCCACACTGTAAATACATAACACCATTTATTTTTGCCCTATATCTGTATATTTTTCTTTTCCCACACGTTTGCACTGCAGCTCTGAATCTCACTGTACATGTGTATAGTGACAATAAAAGGCATTCTATTCTACTCTACTCTGTTCTATTCTAAACATGACATCACTGGTTTTGTTTGTTGCAGTCAACAGACTCACATTAGTTTATGTTAGTTAACCACAGAGTACCGAGAACTCAGCAAAATAAGAACACAAACTAAAACCAGTCTAAGGGCGTTGCTTCTGTGCTGCCTCTGACTGTAGCAACCACTCTTAGGTTAATAATATAAACTGCCCACTTTCACTCAGTCTACTGCGCAGTAGGCGAGTCTTCGTTTTTCGGCCCTGAAACAGGAAAATGTGCCTGTTAGCTGTGATGTTGGGGTTTGTGCCGCCTGTCACGCTCTGTACTGCCGCAAGAGGGCGCCAAACATGTGCTTAAAACATTAAGGACTTGTTTCTTATATCCACCTACACAGAGAGCAGGGCTCATTGTTGTAAATTAACCTTTATATATGAAGTGTTTCATATCCAGTTAAAACCAAAGAACTCTAAGTTTTGAAGCTCTCCCGTCCAGCTGCAGTGAATCCTGGGATTTCTGCCTGCGCAGTGTTTTTAAAGGTTTGTTTCGGTGAACAGATGCTGACACGGGGTACACACCGCACGGCTCTCACCGTCTTTGACGAGCTGCATGAAGTCCTGTACGGTCTGCTCCAAGCGGACGCCGTGAAACACAACCGGCTTGAAGTTCCTGTGTTCGAAGGACCTCACCAGGCGGACGGTGACCACAGCTTCAGCAGTCATGCTGCTCTGAACCCGAACACTCATCTGGTAACGCGTAGCTGTCCTTCTTCCCCTAAGTTTTATTGGCGATTGGCAAACAATAAAATGGTGCATTACCGCCACCAACTGGTGTGGAGTGTGTACTGCAACGTCGCTCACAAATCCTCCAAAACAATTTACCCTGTTTTAAAGCCTGATAACTTTCACTTCTTGGGTCCTTTTGCAGTTACTCAATAAGATCCAGTTTCATTTGTAGGTTTCTGAGGTTTTGGATCAGTTGCCTTCTCTCTACCTCCCCTGTGTTGGCCATTCATTCACACACTGGTGATGGCAGCTACATTGTAGCCACAGCCACCCTGGGGCGCACTGACAGAGGCGAAGCTGCCGGACACTGGCGCCACCGGTAGGCAACGGGTGAAGTGTCTTGCCCAAGGACACAACAACCGAGACTGTTGGAGCCGGGGCTCAAACCGGCAACCTTCCAATTACAAGACAAACTGCCAACTCTTGAGCCACGATCACCCACATGTTCTGTTTCCTCTTCTCCACAGTAGTCACGTTTACCTGTATTATGTTTACCTGCCAAAACTTTTCTTCATTTTTCGCCTTATGATACTCTTTATCTTTGTCTGACAGAAGTTAATAGCCAGGTCAACTAACACATTTTTGTGGCTTCCTTTGCAGCTCTGTCTGTCATTTCATGTGCTCTGACTCCAAAATAAGCTGGAATCCATAAAAAGCCAACTTTTAAGTCCCATCATGTTTATTCTGTAACACGTTTGCTGAACCTCTGTTGCTGTCCTTTTTCTTCTTGTTAAGTTTTAATGGCAGATAGCAAACATACCACAAACTGGTATGGACTGTGGATGGAAATGAAGGTTAAAACAAACAAACAAAACCCTCAAATCCTGTCAAACACTATAGTCCATCTTTAAAAATGTGTACTTCTTGAGTTGAAATAAATCAATAAGGTCTAATTTTCATGTTACTGAAGTTTTGCCGTTGTCTTTTCAGCCTCTGACAGTGCAAGCCATTCTTACTGACTTACGGTGTTTCAGATTAACTAGTGACGGTCAAACAGATGTGTGGTAGATTTGCTTTTCAAATGAAACAGTATTATGTCATTATTTTTGGCCTTCGTGCTTGAGAAATACCAAATTATGTACACAAAGTTCTGGAAATTACCACAACATTGTTCATGATTTAATTTTTTTCCCCATAACATCAAGAAATGTTCCACATTAATATCATGTTGCAATGTCACATCCTGTTACAGTAGTCTGCCTCTGTCTTTTCTCTGGAAATAAACACTTGGGGCTAAAATAGCTAATTGATCAACACAGCTGGAGAGAGCTGGAGGTTATATACAGTCTGTGTAAATGATGTGTTAACTTTGTTAATTTGACAAACATTTGTGGGTGACGCAGTAGCTGGACGAGTCTGCGACAAACATCTCAAACAGCAGGACGTTACATCCTGTGGTGTCTGTATGCGAGGCAGCTATGATGGTCATGGAGTATTTTACTTGAATAAATACAGATTCTAATGAATAGAAAACGGCCAGCTTGCTGAAGAAATTCTATTGGGGACAACAGTACAGTACTCTGTGGACCAAGAGGGGACTGCCAGCACAATCTGTCTGCTCAAACACTCAGGTATACCCCAGAAACATCTGGATATTCATTTAAAATATTTATACATACATCCTCATTGTTGTGACTATTTTCAGTTACCTTTCCCAGCTATGCCGTGCCTGTGGCGAAAGAAGCTCTGCTGCAGACACTGATGAGTGGGTAAAATAACCAAATCAATACCTAAGACTGAAGCACCTTGAATGGGTCACCTCAGCATCACTGGGTGAAATGTCACTTTGATGCACCAACAGAAAACATGTGGTTGAGATAACCTGCATGCCTTTGCACTTTAAAGACACTGCAGAAGGTGATTACAGATGTTACGCATGTTAAACAATTTATCACTGTTATCTTTGGGGAACTGTCCATTGTTCCTTCAGTGGGCTGGTTTCAGTCATTATGCAAATGTACTGTTTCTAAGTTTGGGGAAACCTGCAGTCAGCTGAGACTGAAGACGTTGTCTTTGCTTAAAAACTGGTTTTAGTCTTGACAATCCGCTGTGCTGGCATCTATGAGCAGGATGTTTGTGGGTCGATTTGAATGCAGCAGGTGTAAATGCAGCCCCTCAGACAGAGCCAGGTGCAGATGTGTGTGCCATGTTAATCTGGTTGTAGGCCCTGGCCCTTTGCCACAGGTGGCAGTAGCAGACTGCTGCAGCTGCTGTGTCATATGTCAATAGATTGAGCTACAAAATAAAGATCATATGCAAGTTTTGTAAATTAAATTATGAAAATTCTTAAGTTAGAATTCAACTCACCTCAAAACTCAAAAGCACACCTGAGTCACCCATTTTCTTAAATCCACTCACTCTCACAAGCTCTTCTCACTCACACTGGCTCTGTTGTTGTAATCACTGTCTAACTGCTGTAAATGCACTGTAACTGCCATCTGCTCACACATGTTTGTTAAATTAATCAAGCTTATATAGACTGTATCTAACTACCAGCTCTCTCCCGCTGTGTACATCTATGTTACGCCCCAGTCTAGGGGTACAGGAACGCAACATAAGTTTGAAAAGATTGCCCCGCCCTGGTCCCCAAAACCATACACAGAGGGAAAACCAATCTCTTAGTGGTTTATTTTTCTACACTGCAAAAATGAAGCTCCGGGGTGAACAAAGGCCAAAATAACAAACAAAACAAGCTAAGTCAGGAGGAGGTGCTATCTACAACCCTATGTGAAATCAAACATCAAACAAAAGACAAGCGCTACACCTAACTCCCTAACTGAAATAAACACCACCACTAAAGCAGTTTGTTAGGCATAAAGAAAGCTCAGACAGGACCACTTGAGCTTCAATCCGAGGAGACTTGTTTATACCTCACAGACGGACAGTTTATGGGCAGAACGTCCTCTCTGTCCAGGGTGGCCATCTGTGGAACAGTCTTCCTCAACCCATTAGAGAATGCTCTACACTCAATTTGTTTAAGGCAAAGGTTAAAAACTGGTTATGGACAAATCAAGTGTGTGATCATGTATGAGTTGTATAGTTTTAATGTTTTATTTGGGAACAGAATGGTGTGTATGTGTAAGTTTGGTGATGGAGTTTTTATTATGAATGAATGATGAATTTTTATGAATGATGTCTATTTTTTATGCTTAAGGACAACAGATGGTAATTAGCCCTTGGCTATAATCTGATATGTTTACATTCATGAAATTTTTATTTTTTACATTTATGTTCATTAACATGCACTGTCCTAAATAAAAAAATAAAAAAATAAAACAGTACAAGGAAAACAATAAGGCAGCTCACCCCTTCTGTTCCAGTGCTATTTACAATGTGCTCTTTACAATGAAAACTAATGTACACACTATATACAGAACTCAGAAAGTCGCACAAATGTCTCAGGCTTTGGAGGCCAGGGTAAGGTCTGCTGCTGCTGTCAGTGGCTGCCCCCGGGACAACTGCTGGTGGAGGGATTTTGAATGCGACCACATGATCGGCGGACCAATCGGCAGCCGTCAGCTCATCCACTCAGGGACCTGCAAAGACTTAAAGGCACAGACAAAGAAAACAACCACCAAAACAGATTATGGCCAGGGCAGGTGACTACAGTTACACAGATGTAATCTACTCAGTACTAGAGGTGGCCATGACAACCGTACTTTGTACACGAAGGATGCAAATCATTTTATAAGATAAGATAAGATAACCTTTATTAGTCCCACACGTGGGAAATTTGTTTTGTCACAGCAGGAAGTGGACAGTGCAAAAGTTATGAGGCAAAAATTAGAATACAATAAGAATAAATACAGTACACAACTGTACAGAATAGAATAACATAAAATACTATATACAGTAGAATAAAATAAAATAAATATACAATAAGATAAAAATAGAATACAAATACAAATACTATATACAACTGAGTAAAAATACAACGATGACAGAAAAGATTATTGCACTTAGTATTATTGCATATGTATGGATGTGTGTGCTTGATCAGTTAAAGTCTTTATTATGGAGTCTGACAGCAGTGGGGAGGAAAGACCTGCGAAATCTCTCCGTCCCACACCGTGGGTGCCGCAGTCTCCCACTGAAGGAGCTGCTCAGTGCTGTCACAGTCTGCTGCATGGGGTGGGAGATGTTGTCCATCAGGGATGACAGCTTAGCCGCCGTTCTCCTGTCACTCACCACCTCCACTGGGTCCAGAGGGCATCCTAGAACAGAGCTGGCCCTTCGGATCACCCTGTTCAGTCTCTTCCTGTCCCCAGCAGAGATGCTGCCGCCCCAGCAGACCACACCATAAAAGATAGCAGAAGCCACCACAGAGTCATAGAAGGTCTTCAGGAGTGGGCCCTCCACTCCAAACGACCTGAGTCTCCGCAGCAGGTACAGCCTGCTCTGCCCTTTCCTGTAGAGGGCGTCTGAGTTATGAGTCCAGTCCAGTCTGTTGTTCAGATGAACACCAAGGTACCTGTAGCTGTCCACAGCCTCAATGTCCATACCTTGGATGTTCAGTGGTAGCAGTGGAGAATGCTTGTGCCTGCGGAAGTCTACCACCAGTTCCTTGGTTTTACTGGCGTTGATCTGGAGGTAGTTGTGGCACCAGTCCACAAAGTCTTGGGTCAGTCCTCTGTACTCCTTGTCGTCCCCATCAGTGATGAGGCCGACTATTGCAGAGTCATCAGAGAACTTCTGCAGGAAGCACTGGGTGGAATTGTGGGAGAAGTCTGCAGTGTAGATGGTGAAGAGGAACGGAGCCAGAACCGTTCCCTGTGGGGCCCCCGTACTGCAGACGACCCTGTCCGACACACAGCCCTGAGTCCTCACATACTGTGGTCGGTCGGTGAGGTAGTCCAGGATCCAGGTAGTGAGGTGATGGTCCACTCCAGAGTTCACCAGCTTGTCCTTCAGAACCGAGGGAAGAATGGTGTTGAAGGCACTGGAGAAATCAAAGAACATGATTCTCACAGTGCTTCCAGCGG